AGAAGCTTATCATATATATTTTAAAATGTTTATTTGAGGAAGTTGATTGTGACACATAAGTTTTTATCAGGTAGTGTAGTGAGACAAATAGATCACTGTTTAATAATTACATCTACTGCTGACTATGAAAATCGTAACCAATCATTTCAACTATTTGTATATGGTATTTACTTCATCTAGTAAGAAGAGATAAAATTATTTAACTTTTATGCTTCCTTTAAGAATAAATAAGATAATGTACATAAAATATGTGTGCCAGACATTGATATAGAGAAGAATTCATTAGCTAGAATATTATCTTTAGAATAATGAATCACTGGAGACCAGTTACACCCTATTATCATCATCAATATTACCAAGGGTAATGGGCACAATGGAAAAAGAGCCTTATGAGCTGCCAGTGCAGGCCTGTATAGTTTTCCCTTGGAAGATAATATACATGTTCTACAAATAGGAAGCTCATGTGCTTAAATAATTAGAGATGATTTTAGAATCTTATATTTCACTGACAGGCTGTGCTGGTTTTGTAGTTCACCATGGCATCTGAACTTATCGTGGTGATCCCTATTTACCTGCTGGAAAATCAGAAAGAGCAGCTGATGGTGAATCTAAAAGCATTAAAGATTCCTTACAAGATATCTCAGCTTGGGTGGTGGTGGCTATTGCAGAGCTATATTGCACAGGAAAATCCCACTTGATGAATCACCTTGTGGGACAGAACCATGGTGAGTGTGGTCCTGAGATAAAGTACCACTTGTATGGATAATGTATCTGATCACACCTGTTGTAGGGTCATTGCAAGGAAGAGCCCAACCCTTCCCAATGAAGAAAATTTCCAATTCTTGCCACCAAATTTACACCCTGGGCTGCTTTTCCTATCTGCTGTCATGGTATGTTGCTTTCTCCTCTTCCTTTGCAGGTTTCTGTTTGTGTTCTGCCATGAAGTCTGAAACCAAGGGGACCTGAGTGTGGGACCTTCCAAGCTGAACCTTACCCTGGTTCTCATGGACACTGAGGGCCTGGGTTATGTAGAAAGGTAAGGCAGAGTCATGGAGAAATCTTTTTTGCTTTTGATTTTCAACTTTTAATTAACCACCTTAATTCAACTTTTCTGACATATTTCTGAAAAATGCAGATACAAAATGTGAAGAATGAGATTAAGTTTTGTTTCCTGGAACTTTTCTCCTTGGTAAGCTAAAATATTTTGGAATGTTAAGGCAAGATCTTATTTTAACACTGGGGTGAACAATAGAATTTAATAATATTGAGCAGCTGAATTCCAGGGCTCTCTGCTAAGTACTACAGATAGAGTTAATAAACAAGGTCAAGGCCTAGAGCTTAATAGGGGAGACAACAAATACAGTGTGGTCAGTACAGGGTGCCATAGATGCACAGAAGTAGGCACTTAACCCAGTTGTATATGCCAGTCAAAGCTTCTTGGAGGAAATAACAACTAGACTGTAACCAATGGGATCACTGAGAGCTACCAGCTAAAGTATGTGAGGGTGATGCAGTTAGAAATAGAAGCCTTGAAGATAGGATTTCAGTGAAGTTATCTATTTAAAAAATCTTCTTAATAGCTTTAGCTACATCAGGAACATTCATAAAGATTTTGTTCAATTTTTAAGGGCTTTAGGAGATTAACTCCACTGACTGCTCTAAAAGTATTAATTTAACCTATCTAAACAGTGTAAATGAGATAATTTTAGATATTTTGTCATTATAGTATTAGGTGGGATGAATGATTTCTCCTTATTTTATATTACTTGAAGTCTAAATCAAAAGTAGTAGCAGTAGACCTTTGGCTTCCATTACTGCAAAAGAAAGAAAGAAAGAGAAAGAAAAGAGAGAGAAAAGATTGTGTGTTTCAAAAAAATTAAATATAATCTTATGTACGGGTCTTGGTGATGGATATGCAAATTGTACAGTCATGTCGTGCCGTGACCTCAGAAGGTCCAGTGCTTGGTGTGAAATTTTTGTCTTGAATTTCTTTATGTTTTTTTAATGAGGAGCCCCACATTTTCATTTGGAACTGGGCCAAATTATGTATCTGGTGTTATCGTTGTACATTAGTTTACCTCCTTAATCTCCTCCTTTTTATTTAATTTCAATGGAAAGGTATTTTTTCCTGGGTTCTGCCATGAGCATATTGGCTTAAATCAGTAACTAAATAGTAATGTGAGGAGTTACCGAATCATAAAAGAAAGAGTGAATTTCCCCTTGTGGTTAGCACTCAGAGGAGTCATGAATTCCCAACCCATAAAACTTGTTACCAGGTTTTTATTTATATGACAATGAAAAAGGCCTAGATTAACTTCCATCAAACATTTAACAGCAAGCAGCTACAAATAGTCATATAACCTGTTTTTAGCCTATGGATGCTGCTCCTTTAAAGCAAAGATTCATTCCAGGTTGAATGTGGTGAGGTTCCATGACTGGCCCTGACGTTAAGGCAGGTGGCAGAATTCTCTGCGGAGTGTAAAAAGCAGGACAGGAGGTTCTTAAACTGAAACACTGCACAGATGGCATAGGCTAAGAGGCTTGCTTAATTTTATGCATTCTTGCTATGGTCTGAATGTCTGTGCTCCCCCTCAATTTATATGTTGCAACCTAATCACCAGTGTGATAGTGTTAGGAGGTGGGGTCCTCTAGGAGGGGATTAGGTCACAAGGGGGGAGCTCCCATGAATGGGATTAATGCCCTTATAAAAGAGGCCCAGAGAGCTGCCTTGCCCTTCAGCACGTGAGGACATAGCAAGAAGGCACCATCTACTGAACCAGAAAGTGGCCCTCACCAGACACCAAATCTGCCAGTGCCTTAATCTTGTATATGCCAGCCTCCAGAAATATGAGAAATACATTTCTGTTGTTTGTAAGGTACCCAGTTTATTATATCTATTTATAGAAGCCCAAACAGACAGACGCTTCTTCATGCAAGGGTGTTGCTTATTTTTTCAATTAATTACCTCTGTTAAATAACACTAGTAGATAATATTTAATCTACTATCCCTTAGGCCAGTTGGCCAGAATTTGGTGTTGACACTTAAAAAAATACCTCCTTCTGGAGAAGATCATTCCAGACTGGGCCATTTGTATGCTTATCATCACTTCTAGAATGGAGGTTTAAATCAATTTGTAAACACAGGCACGTGCGCACGTACACACACACACACACACACACACACACACATACACACACACACACACACACACACACACACACACTCTCTCTCTCTCTCTTTCTCTCTCACACACAAACACGACATTGCTTATTATTATGAACTATTTTAAAGTAATTACACAGAGATAACGTAATCACTTGCCCCAGTATGACCTAATAATGTCCTAACTTCCTGTCGTCTTGACTAGTCCAATGGGATAAAGACATTTGCAACTCTATTATTTCCTCTAGTTTCTTTCCAAAACCAGTGAACCAGTAAAACACCCTGATTTCAAACAACGTTTTTTTTCTGTGATTCATCTTGTAAATAAATGACAAGTTAAAGCACAGATATAAAAGTATATAGAACTGGATTGTTAGATATAATACTTATTCAACAAATGTATAAATAAGAATTACAAAACCTGACATGGAAAATACTTTTTAAATGTTGAACTAAATGGAGTCTCTTTATCAAAATAAAATTTCATTGTTATGGGCATGTGCGTGTATGTCTGTGATCATAAAAAACAGATTTATTAAAAATTCACATAATACAGATAAAAATTTTGAAAATCACTTGAGCTAGAAGTATTAATATTTTTGGGCAGTGGTAGGGTGAATACTTCTAGGCTTTTACCTATGTAACATAGATATGTTGCTATATATGTCTTCTCATAAGTGTAATCAAAATATATATGTATATATAACATGCACTGTGATTTAAATTTCTTCTTAACATCTTCATGACTATCTAGTGTCATTGTCATTAGATTATTTGAAAAGGGGTGCCTGGGTGGAAATTTGGTGGAATTCATTTGGTTCATACACAATATTTACCATGATTCAATCATAACTTTCCTTTTTTACTTTTTGTTTATGAGAGAAAGGGGTTTCCTGATATAAAAATGTACATTAAAATGGTCAGAAGAAAAAGAAGCTGACTTATTATTATTGGTCTTATTTCAAATTAGATTAACTTTATTTTCAGTTTCAATATCAGTTACAGGAAATAAATTTCAAGTTTTGTCTTAAAATCAGCACCAGTAATTTTAACTTTTTAAGAAAAAATGCCTAAAATTTTGGACTTAAAAATTTGCAAATGTTTAATTAGATATATTTAAACCAATAGAAAGATTTAGGGGGTAGACAGGTAAAACTGGGGACACATTACCCATTTTTTTGGGTAGAAGTTTTCTCAACTTCTGTTGACAAACTGGCTAGTGATCTTAGGAATTGAATCACTTTTCCTGGTAGCCTGGGTAAGACTCTTAATAATGAATTATGCTTTGAATAGTCCAATAATCCTACTGCCCTCCAAAATGTCCAGTTTCAATGACATGACTGTTTTTTGAAAGAGAGGAAGTGGTTACTTGCCACCTCTGGACTATAATTGCACCTCTGGACTATAATTTTAGGGAATACATACATTTATACGCACATATATAAACAAACACACATATGTATTTTTACAGTTAATGAAAAAGGAACTTAAAAAAAAAGAGATGAGAAACGAGCAAGTAAACAAGTTAAAAACAAGCAAAAACCCAAACTTTTTTCCTGACAAAATTACCCTGATGGACAGGCTGTTGAAACACTCTGAATCTACATTTACTTTGTTTACATTCACATCTCGTGTTCTATATTCATTTTGGGGGCTAAAGAAATCTAAGCCAAGGGTGGAAGAGGGGCAAGCCTGGGTTTCAGAAGTCTGATGTTGAGGACTCAGCAATTTTCTCCCACCTCTTCTGGTCTCTTGCCTCAGGAAAACAGAAAAAATCCTAACAGTTCACTTCCGCGAAAGCGCTAATGCTTTCGATTTCGGTTCTCTCCACGCCAGCCCCTTAATTGGATGTCTGTATACCCTGCGTGGCTTTCAGCTTCTAAGAACAGTCGGTATCCCTAGGAGGCAGACTCAGGAGGGCTGAAGGGGTGAGCAAGGAGGACAGCTGAGAACTTGACCTGTGGCTGCAGCGCCCGCGCCAGCACCAGGTAAGGTCGCTCCTAAGCTTTCCCTTTCGTGCACATTTGGGTTAACAAACAAACAACAACGAATTCCCAATAGTAGACTCCACAGGGGGAGGCTGGGGGGACTCCACACGGCGGGTGACAGAGGTAGTTGGAGGACTGCACCGGTCTTCCAGATTCGGTGGGACCCCCGCTTTGCTCCAGGTGGCTCAGAGTCTCAGTTTGGTTCAGAGGTGGCTGCGAGCCGACAGCGCGCGCTAAGTCCCCAGCATGAGCCGCTCCTCCTCGGGCATCCACTCAGGGCTGCGGCGAAGAGCCCATGCTCAACCGAGAGGAGAGCTGCAGTCCTTTCTCCCACGGAAGAACCACGATCCAGCCCCCTCGCAAAGGCGCTGCTGTGGGGTTGCTTTCTCCCTCTTCCTTTCTCAGACGTTTCCTGGCTGCCCCCTGCCGGACATTGGAGAAACAGAGAAAAGATCCTTGCTGCAGGCAATTTAAATCCTTGAAAGTTTGACTCTTGATTACTTTTCTATCAGCTACATTTAACATTAGAAAGATGCTACAAAGCGTCATTATATGGAATTTCAGTCTCACTGTCACTAATTAGCTGTTTTAGAATGACTTTAAGGTCTAATCTTGTTTGTTTATCATGCGCTGCTTTTAATGCCTAGTCCATGCAAGAACTGCATCAGAAAAACGTGCTGTACTGGTTGAAAAAACAGAGTTCCAGGCTTTTTTCTTTTTTCGAGAGACAGGGACTTTCTCTGTCACCTAGACTGGAATGCAGTGGCGCGATCATAGGTCACTGCAGCCTCCAACTTCTGGGCTCAAGCATCCTCCTGCCTGAGCCTCCCGACTAGCTAGCACTACAGGCGCCTGCCACCCTACCTGGCTGATTTTATTTTATACTTTTTGTGGAGACAGGTCTAGCTATGTTGCCCAGGCTGGTTTCCAACTCCTAGTTTCAAGGGATCCTCCAGCCTCAGCCTCCCAAAGTTCTGGGGCTACAGGCCTGACGCCCGGCTGAGGCATTTTTAACTCTTACTCTGGATGTCTCCGTGGACGGTAACTTTTGAAAACCGTTGATTGTTTACTCACAACTAATTGAGCCATCTTTTTCTACTAGTTTGTTTTGGATTCAAAAGCTTCCTGGTTTGGATATCTCAGTATGCTTTGCTTTACACAAACATAATTCTGTAAATTCATCTATTCCCACAAAAAGCTTTTAAAATACTCAATATAAGGGATATACTGTACAATTCTTCCTGTTCAGTACACACCAGTGAAAGGCCCAGGTTTCACTCCTCCAGTCCTGCTCCCAAGCGCCTACAGAAAAAAAAGAGAAATTCTATAGAGGAAGTCTGGTAAGAAACAAAGTGATGATTTTGCTGACAAGGAGATTTTAGATATTTTTTTATTTCTTGGTAATTTGCATCTCACAGAACATACTGACACATATTAACACGCTGCCACCGGGTGTCCTGGCTCATGCCTGTAATCCTAGCACTTTGGGAGGCTCAGGTGGAAGGACTGCTTAAGGCCAGGAGTTCAAGACCAGGTTGAGTAACATAGCAAGACCCTGTGTCTACAAAAAAATAGAAAATTTAGCTGGGCATGGTGACATTTGCCTGTAGTCACAGCTACTCAAGCTGAGGCAGGCAGATGGCTTGAATCCAGGAGTTGGAGGTTGCAGTAAGCTCAGTAAGCTATGGTGACACCACTGCACTCTCCAGCCCCAGGCAACTGAGCAAGACCCTGTCTCTCCAAAAAAAAAAGCCACTACTCATGCTAGAAATCTTGAAAATTTAAGATAATTATTTCTTGAGAGTTTACTTTTTAAATCAGCATTACAGTAATGAATCAGGCACTCATCATTGCTTACTTATAGCACTGATAAGAAAATCTAGTTTGCAGAAATAAATTCCATTTTTCAAGGCAACAGGTGATCTGAACCCTAGGGTTTGAACCCCAGCCTCCTGACTCCAGAACTGTGCTGTGACATCCCAGGACAGCTCTGGGTTCCCCTTGCGTGATTCAACCCGTGTTCGTGCCCTCCTACCAGCACTTTCCACTGGGTCAGCTCCTGCCTATTCATCCTCCTCATGGGCTATGCCCTGCACTTGTTTGCACCCTGGAGAGCAGCATCACTGTTTCTGTCCAAAGTCAACCCCTCAGCTTCATTTAAAAATTACCCTCCCTGGCTTCTTAGACACTCTATTTTTATACAATGCCTATAGAGGATATACTACGTACCAGGCATGATTTTAAGAGCATTATAATGAGACATTTAATACTCCTAATAACCAATAGATTTTTACTGTTAGTATTTCCATTCTACAGAGTATAAAACTGAGGTGGAGAGAAATTAATAATCTTTCCAAGGGTCACACAGCTAGTAAAGGAAGGGTACATGAGAAAGTTGCTGAATGCTGTCTTTGAGAAAATACACGAACAGTCAATGCTCTGTCACTGCTTTCTGTCTCTTGAGTTCTTGCAGTGCCTCACTCATTATGAAGAAAACATTTGAAGAATAGTCTTGACAAGATGTGGGACCCTGTCATATCTGGGAAGCCCCTAACAAACCCTGGCTACTGGATCTTTTCCCTGTCAGCCTATAAATAAGACCTATCTTTTTCTTTGAGCTAAAAAATAAATAAATAAATTCTAGACCCCCATGTTTGTCTAGTTCCTCTAAAAATCTGTCCTATTGTGTTTTAAGAGAGACCTACATTATCTTTTCTTCCTTTTTCCATGATCATTCCTCTATCCAGCCTGCTCCTGCTTCCACCAATTCTCTAAGTCTGTCAATCAAGGTTAATCAATGATCACCTTCACTTTGTCTCTTTCTCAGGGAGGCCTTCTCTAACTACCCTTCATACAAATTCAATTCCCAACACTCTCCATCCCATTCCCTGCTATTTTGTCCTGAGAAATACCATCATCTAGTATAAATACATAATTTTTTTCCTATTTGCTTTATTTATTATTTGTCCCCAACTAGAATAGAGCTCCAATAGGCAGGCATTTGTAACAATTTTGTTCCTGGCTTGACACTGAGCACCTAGACCTGTGTCCAGCACAGGGTAGCTATTCAATAATATTTCCTAAATTAACGAGAGAACGAATTCTTCTGGAATGCCAAAACCTTTTCTGACAATTCTTCATTTCCTTCGTATCACATTCTGCCTCTATTTGCCCCCAAAGTTTAGTATTAGGCTCTGTCATCACCTCTTTGCTTTTCTCATTCTATTCATTTTATGATCCCCTTGGCAAGGCTCTTTTAGGGTTTTCGTAAGAATCATGAGATGTTTCCTTAAGAAACACACGAAACATAAGAAATTGGTATATACCTTCTGCAAGCAGAAAGCTGATATGCATGTGCTTTGGGTAATCATTACAGAGGACTTTGAGCTCTTGCTTTCTACTGAGTGGTGTTTCTGGGTTTTCAGGTTATCATGGCATCTGAATCCACCATGATCGCCCCCATTTGTCTAGTGGAAAACCAGAAAGAGCAGATGACGGTGAATCCAAGAGCATTACAGATTCTGAACAAGATTTCTCAGCCTGTGGTAGTGGTGGCCATTGTAGGGCTATATCGTACAGGAAAATCCTATCTCATGAATCGTCTTGCAGCACGAAGACAAGGTGAGTGTGGTGCTGGGGCAGGAGCCATTTGCTTGGAACCAGTGATAACACAGGCAGATCATACCTCCTCTAGGGTTATCTTAAAGAAGAGCATGACTCCTCCCAATGAAGAAAACACCTAATTCTCCCCACCAAATTTACAATCTCAACCCCAATATGTCCATAAAATCTTACTCTTTTGTCCAGTAGTCAATAATTATCCCAGCCCTATCAAAAGATCCACTCTACTGGTCTTCTCAATCCCATCCACTCTCACCTGCTCAGGAGCTCACTTGCAGCAATTACTCCTTTTCTTTATCCTACACCACTTTAGCTCAAGGTACATGGTCATTTCAAACAGAAAACAAGTGTAGTTTAATATATCCTGTTTTGAAAAATGGATGAGCAAAACAGCAGACAGTAAGGTGCTTGTATATTTCATATACAATGTAACCCCTGGGCATCCTGGTCTATCTGCTGTCACTGTTTGTTGTTTCTCCTCCTTCCTTGTAGGCTTCCCTCTGGGCTCCACAGTGAGGTCTGAAACCAAAGGTATCTGGATGTGGTGTGTGCCCCATCCCTCCAAGCTGGACCACACCCTAGTCCTTCTAGACACCGAGGGCTTGGGTGATGTGGAAAAGGTGAGGCAGAGAATCTTCTCTGCTCATGGTGGTCCTCTTATCATTTTTTTTCTTGGAGTTTTAAACTTGCTTTTTAAATATTGAAGATAATTCACTGGTTGCAAAATCCTTGTCTTATTTATTTGTGTGTGTATTTAATTTTATTTTAATAGATTTAGGGGTATAAATTGTTTTTGTTACATGTATGAATTGTATAGTGGAGAAGTCTATGGGATTTAATTGCACCTGTCACCTGAATAGTGTACATAATACCAATAGGTAATTTTTTATCCTGTACTCCCCTCTCACCCTCCCCCTTGTGAGTCACCAGTGTTTATTTAGTCAATCAGTATGGCCATGCATACCCGTTGCTTAACTCCCACTTATGAGTGAGAACATGTGGCATTTGGTTTTTCCATTCCTGGATTACTTCACTCAGGATAATGGTCTTCAGTTCCATCCAAGTTGCTGCAAAAGACAGTATTTAATTCTTTATCATGGTTGAGTAGTACTCCATGGTGTGCATATATGTATGTGTGTGTGTGTGTGTGTGTGTGTATTTATACCATGTTTTCTTTATCCATGTATCAGTTGATGGGCACTTAGGTTGATTCCATATGCATGCAATTGTGAATTGTGCTGTGAATAAATAGCATTTGTGTCCTTAATATAGTAATGATTGAGAAAAAATTGCAGTGAAATAATTGCCCATTTATTACTGGACACCTACTATGTTCTAGACACTTTATTAAATATTTTATGCACATTAACAATGTCATTAATTTCTGTTAATAGGTAAATGAAATGATGCTCTGAGAGGGCTCAATGTAAATACTAAAAATGAGGTTTGAATGTAGCAATCCATTCAAAATTTATGCTATTTACCCTACTATCCAGCTGTGGTACAGCTGAATAGTGAAAGAACAACCAAATGAATGAATGAATAAGAATAGACTCCTAAGTCCTTTGCTCAAATGTGCATTTTAGGGTGATCCTAAGAATGACTGCTGGATCTTCGCCCTGGCTGTGCTTCTGAGCAGCACCTTTGTCTACAACAGCATGAACACCATCAACCACCAGGCCCTGGAGCAGCTGCAGTATCCTTCCAGAAAGTGAATGTCAATATTTTATTGAGTTTAGCAGAATAGAAACTGACACTGTGTCTTCTTTGCTGGGACTCAATTGTCCTCATTGAGTAGGAATGGACACAGGGAAAAAGGCAATCTTTAAAATTTGTTTCCAGTTGCAATCTAGAAATTATTGTGTAGGGTGCTTCTCATTCCTTAGCTAAGATTTCAGCTACGTGACTGAACTAACAGAGCTAATCAGGGCAAAATCCTGCCCGGCACCTGACGAAGTAGAGAATGCCACCGAATTTGTGAGTTTTTTTCCAGACTTTGTTTGGACTGTACGGGATTTCACCTTGGAGCTGAAGTTAAATGAACATCCCATCACAGAAGATGAGTACCTAGAGAATGCCTTGAAGCTGATTCCAGGTACCAGATCATGGCCTGGGTGTGGGAAAGCTCAGTAGGGGGGTGAGATCGAATAAACCCAGTCATTCAGCACCTTACATAAATGTTCATAGGAGAATGAAGTGAGGCCCATGATAATGGTGATTGGTGATGGACAGGTGGCTGTGATTTTAGAGGTCATTATCACTTGAAAATTTCCAGAAGCTGGAATTTAAATTCACTGAGGAAATTTAGGACTTAATGTTCTATCAAATGATTTTAGACCAATCAATACCATGAAAGAAAAACTTCAGCATTACAATCATCGCTATTACTTCCTAAGACTCATATATTTGTGTTACTTATTAAGATTAAAGGCTCCTCTTACTCAATGTGGAGAAAATTACCTCATCTAATTGGAAGTTGGTAAACACAGAATCATAAGAAATCAAATGACATAATTTTGAAAATATATTTCACTCTGTATATTTTATCAGCCTGGGTAGTTACGTCTTCAGAGAAAAGGAGATCTATACACTACATGATTCAGGAATTGAAAAATAACACTGATAAGTGTTTCCAGTAAGACCATCAAATCCTTCATTTTACCTTTTCCATAACATCACTTTCTTCATTCTGCAGCCTTATACAATATGTCGTCAATCTATCATAAAGTTATTACATGGATTATATTTAGTGGAGTGGAGAACTGATGACAACTGGCTCAATGTCAACTTCTGTTCATTCACTTATTCATCCTTTCCACAAACCTTTATTTTGCAAAGATGATCTATGCCACAGAATCCCTCTGGAGGACAATGTCAAATCTAATATATACTGACATAGAAAAGTGGTGAGGTCTCCAAATTCCATTTAGATTAACTTTACTCTGGACTTTTCTGCTAAAGGAATCTCTAAACATAGTTATGATGTTTATAAATTTGGCTCTGATTTTGAACCATTTTTCTTTACTGATGTGGGTATCATGTCTTCCTCATGAAATTATTTCCAACACCATCTTACCCTTATTTATAGCTTAGTTTGCTTTAGAGCCCGCATTTCATTTCTGACATGTGACTGTAATACCAGAAAAGTATTTATGACAATGTTTGTGATTAATCAACCCCTCAGAAACATTTAATAAATAGTCAATCTCCTGGCCACCATACAAGGGCTGAGAAAACCAATCATAAATTTCTTCGTTTGCCATGTATGCCTCCTTTTGCTCTCCAGAAGGACTGCCTTGATTCTCACCCTGTACAAAAATGGGTTTCCATGCCTTGGGTGGATTAGCATAAAGCTGCTTTGTATGATTGGATACAGAAGATTTACAAGGCAGGGCAGCTGCACTGATACAGGCATCCTTGGAAAAGTCCTCAGCACTGGCCCTTCCCTACAGGCCGTCTCTTCAGTGAACACTCTTTTTACAATTCCACAGGCAAGAATCCCCGAATCCACAATTCCAACATGCCTAGAGAGTGTATCAGGCGTTTCTTTCCAAAACGGAAGTGCTTTGTCTTTGACCGGCCTACAAGTAACACAAAAAATTTATGCCATATCGAGGAAGTGCCAGAAGACCAACTGGAAAGGAATTTCCGGGTGCAATCAGAAAATTTCTGTTCTTACATCTTCACCCATGCAAAGACCAAGACCCTCAGAGAGGGAATCATTGTCACCGGGAACCGTGAGTCTCTTTTTACCCAAAGCACATCTTTCTGTGGTCCAGTGTGTGAGATGAAGCTGTGATGCTTCCGCAGGTTTATCAATAATTTTGTTTACTTCTGAATAAGAATTTGGAGAAGCAGATGTTCATGCCACACATACAAATGCTTATTTCTTAATTAAACTTTCCTCATGTGAGGATTTATCGAGGCCTAATATATCTCATGAAATTAATACATGGATGACATAAGCACAAACTGCTGTTAGGAGAGAAATCTGCGTGATAGGGAAAAGTCATACAGGATGAATGTTTCTCAGTGAAAATATACAAGACATTTTATAAATTTACATCAGTCAGAATGTAAATAGCAGGTCACGAGTCCCACACAAGCTCATTGAGAGTTTGAGAAACAAATTTAAATATTGTCTTAAGTACAGTGCGGTTTCATGGACATGTGTGTAACCTGTGCATTCACCCGGACCCCATGCTGAGATGAGCCCAACTTTGTTTCAATAGCCTATGTTGCCGTCTTCAAATTCCTCATGATATTTTTTTATAAGGGGACTTGCATTCTCATTTGGAATTAGGACTCATACATTATGTAATATACTTTCCCTGTCTAATAAATCACATATATTTTATTTAACTGGGAAAGTATTTTTTCCAGGAAACTCTAAAACATATGTTTTGCAATGAGTAATTTAATTTTATAAGGGGTGAATTCAACAGCAATAAAAGAAAGAATGAATAGGAAAATCAGTAATGTTGCTATAAAGAGTTGGATTCATAAAGCAAGATGAAAAAGGAAGAGGAGGGGGAGGAAGAGAAAATGGAAATAAATTTTTTGTGATTTTTAGAATGCTGATTCTTAAATCTTAAAAAAAAGTGAGTAGAACTTTCTATTTATTCTCGAAATATATGCCATTCAGGGCTGGGGACCCTGGTGGTGACCTACGTGGATGCCATCAACAGTGGAGCAGTGCCTTGTGTGGAGAATGCAGTGACTACTCTGGCCCAGTGTGAGAACTCGGCCGCTGTGCAGAGGGCAGCCGACCACTACAGCCAGCACATGGCCCAGCGAGTGAGGCTCCCCATGGACACGCTCCAGGAGCTGCTGGACGTGCACGCGGCCTGTGAGAGGGAAGCCATTGCAGCCTTCATGGAGCACTCCTTCAGGGACGATGAGCGGGAGTTCCACAAACAGCTCGTGGTACTATTTTAACTTCCAGGTTTCAGCCCTTCTGAATGACACCTAAACTAGATCTTTGTGACCCCATAGTTCATCTCTTTACCATGTCGAAGGAACCTCGACTCCTGTGAATGAAAGGGCTACAGATCTGTATTTCCTACAGATCATGCTTTTTCTAAAACATCGTCACTTTTTTTTCCCATTGCTGCTAAACAAATTACCATAAGTTTAGCAACTGAAAACAGCACATATTACTAGCTCATAGTTCTGCATGTCAGAAGTCCTTATCAGGGCATCCGGGCACTTTACTTAGGGTACCACAAGCTGAAAACGAGGAGTCAAACAACCCTAGTTTTCACGTGGAGGCTCTGAAGACACACTCTCCATCTTGCAGCCAGCAATGGCACATCAAATCCTCTGTTTCTAATCTCTCTGAGTCCCTCTTTTGAAGTTAGCTGGAGAAAACTGCCTTAAAGTGTCTTATGATTTAGGTCACGTTCAACAGGGTACCCTAAATTTCTTAAAGTCAACCTGTGCTACATAACACAGTCTAATCGCAGGATTATATCCATCATATTCACAGGCTCAGGAACTATGCAGGGTGTGGACACAAGGGGTGAGAAATGTTATATGATATCTCAATTCTCCTTAACATAGGCATGTTTACTGAAAGTACCTTTCAGTCTGTCTGGGACTGACATAAAAGGGAAAAAATTCTCTTCATTCCTAATGATAAAACCCAGCTGGATTGTAATATACAAGTAAAAACAAAATAATTTTTTTTTCCTAAATCCTCACATATTCAAATCTTCATTGCAAGAATGCACAGAGGGTTCGTACTCTTTTCGGAATACACTTAACTCATTATTGGTGGATTATTTTGCCACGTATATATTTTTATGCATACCAATCTATGTTTTCAGAGGAAATTTTACTTCCAATAAGAATTCAACTTTCTATTGCTCATATTTGGACATTGAGACCCTGATAATCCTACTATAACTAAAAGTACAATAAATTTCATGTTGTGTCACCTCATAATTTGGCAGACATTGAGCCTAATTCCAAAGGAATTAAGTGACTTTTCACAGATCACACAGTGAAATAATCAGAAGACAGACAAAAATAAGTCTTCCGAGTCCTGGTCTGCACCACATCGCAGTCCATTCTGAGGCCATGAGACTTCTTCTTATAAAAGGATCATAGCTGGACCTTCCCTTCTAACATCTTCTCTCTATTGGATTTCCCTGTATTTCCCTGGCAGGTAACCATAGAGAAAAAGAAGGAAGAATTCTTGCTGCGGAATGAAGAGGCATCTCTCAAATATTGCCAGGCCGAACTTAAACGTCTTTCAGAGTCCCTGATGGGAAGCATTTCCAGAGGAACTTTCTCTGTTCCTGGAGGGCACAAGCTCTACTTAGAAGCAAAGAAAAAGGTTGAACTGGACTATGAGCTAGTGCCCAGGAAAGGAGTTAAGGTGAGGAGTAAGGGGACAGGGGCTGGCCACCAGAGTATAGTCAGAGGGTCTTTGTTGCCCCTTCGGAAAACCTAAGACCACAGCACCATTTGTGGAGAGAAAGCAGAACATGTAATATCTTTACATTTTTAGCTTTTACATTCACAATTAGTTAGACACTCTTAAGGAGACCAGAAATATTTCTCCTCAAAGAGGATTTAGAATCAGGAATTCAAGTGAAACATTTCTTTTATTTATCAAGTAATGGGGTAGGTACTTTTGTGCTAAGTACAGAGGATACATTATGAAACAAACAACTTTGTCTTCAGGAAGCTTTTGATTTCACGTGAGAAAGACAAATTAATAGTCGATTGGCTATATTGTGATTACTCTTATCATACTGGTATGTACTGATTATAATGATGATGATGATGGCGATGAGCGTAATGGGTCGCATACGTGGAGCATTCACTTTCTGTACCAGGTATAGTGTTTGGTGATTTGTTGGATTATCAATTTAATTCTTATAATAACATAAATTAGGTATTACTGTCTTCCACATCATGCAGTTGAGAAATGCAATGCACAGAGAGGTTAATAAGATGCCTAAGACAACATAGCCAGCAAGTGGTAGAGCTAATAGGGCTAATCTATGTACTTGGCAGCCATTAGACACTCAGAACTTTTGCTTTTGAGAAAACATTGTACTGTGCTCCATGATGACTGTACAAATTTACATTCCTACCAACACTATCTAAGGGTTTCCTTTTCTCCATATCTTTGCCAACAATTGTTATGTTCTGAGTATTTATAATGGCCATTTATAATGGTCATTCTAACAGGTGTGAGATAATATCTAATTGTGCTTTTGATTTCCATTTCCCTGATGCTTAGTAAGGTTGAACATGTTTTCACTTAGGTGTTGGCCATTTAAATATCTTCTTTTGAGAAATGTCTCTTACAGTTCTTTGCCCCTTTTTTAATTTGATTACTTACGTTTTTTTTTTTTTTTTTGCTATTGTATTGTATGAGTTCCCTACATATGGTAGATATTAGCCCCTTATGAGATATATGTTTGCAAGTCTTTTCTCCCATTCTGTATGTTACCTTTTTATTTCATTGATCATTTCCTTTGCTGTGCAGAAACTTTTACTTTGATGTAGTCCCAGTTGTTTGTTTTTGCATTTGGTTGCCTGTGTTTTTAGTGTCAAATTAAAAAAATCATTTCCAAGATTAATGTCAAGGAGTTTTCCTCTGTGTTTTGTTTTAAGAGTTATATGGGAATTTCTGGTCATATATTTAACTATTTCATCCATTTTTAGTTTATTTTTGTGAATGATATAAGATAAGGATCCAATTCATTCTTTTGGATATTCAATTTTCCCTGTACCATATATTGAAGACAGTCTCATTTCCACATGGCATATTTCTGGCACATTTGTTGAAAATTATTTGGCCATATATGAGTTAGTTTATTTCCTGGATTTCTATTCTGTCGTATTCGGCTATGTGTGTGTTTTTATGCCAGTGTTATATTACTTATTACTATTGCTTTGTGGCAGACTTTGAAATCAGGTAATATACTGCTGGTTTTGTTTTTGTTGCTCAAGATTGATATGGCTACTCAGGTCTTTTATAGTTCTACACAAATTCTAGAATTGTTTTCTTATTTCTTGTGAAAAATCTCATTGGAATTTTCATAGGGATTACATTAAATCTGTAGATGGCTTTGGGTAGTATGGACATTTTAACCAATGTTAATTCTTCCAACCCATGAACATTAGATATCTCTCAATTTATTTTATGTCTTCTTCAATTTCTTTCATCAGTATTTTATAGATTTCACTTTATAGTTCTTTCATCTCCTTGATTGAATTTATTTCTAAGTAGGTTGCTCTTTTTGATGCTATTGTAAATGTTTGTTTTCTTAACTTTTTCAGTTTTTTGTTAGTATATAGAGATGCAACTATTTTTCTATGTTTTTTAATCCTTCGACTTTACTGAATTTATTTATTATTCCTTCAACTTTACTGAATTTATTTATTATTTTTAACAGCTATTGGTGGACTTCCAGTTATATTCCAAAGGAAATAGAATAACTATCTTGAAGAAATATCTGTATTCTCATGTTGATTGCAGTATTATTCACAATAGCCATCCTGTAGAAACAATCTGAATGTATATCCACAAATTAATAGGTGAAGAAGATATATATAATATAATGAAACATTATTCAACCTTAAAAGAAGGAAATCCTGCCACTATGACAATATGAATGAACCTGGAGACACAGACAGACAAATACTGTATGACTCACTTTTATGTGAAATTTAAAAGAAGAAACTCAAAGTCATATTAATAGAGAGGACAATGTTGGTTTCCAGAGGCAGGGAAGTAGGGGAGAATGGGAGATATTGATCAAAAGTCACAAACATTTATTTATAATATAAGTAAATTCTGAACACCTAATTTATAGCATGGTGACTGTAGTTAAAATAATGTATTATATACTTGAAATTTGCTAAGATAGTAGATCTCAAGTATTCTCACCACACAAAAAAGGTAACTGAAGGAGGTGATGGACATGTTACTTGGCTTTATTGTAGCAATCGCTTCACAGTGTATACATGTATCAAAACATCATGCTACATACCTTAAATGTAGACAATTCTTACTTGTCAATCATACCTCAGTAAACCTGTGAAAGAAACTCAGAAGGCAGCCTGGAAAGCTTTCTGACATTGAGGTGGGAGCTCTTAGTTGAAGTATTTATAGATGCTGTACTAGTTAAGAAAGGGTAGCACGGCATCCAGGCAGAAGAAAAAGAATGTGAAAATATTTCAAACAATGGAGAGTCAGTGTTTGCAGAACAGCAGTAAATCTGGTGTCTGCACCTGGGGTGGGTGGTGGCAGTGTCCCTGGGAGAGAAGCTAGAGAGTTGGGAAGGAGGCTGCTGTGGAGGGTTCTTACATCTCATCAAAGAGCTTGGACTTTTTGTTGTGGCCAAGGAAGGAAAGAAGCACTGTGTCATCCTAAGCAGATGCAGAATTACAGGGTTAGATATGTGGCTTTACTGAACAATAATTTCCTCATCAGAAGACTAGATCTTTGCTACCTGACAGATCTTTGCTTCTTCTTGGTTCCTCAGGCAAACGAGGTCCTCCAGAGCTTCCTGCAGTCACAGGCAGTTACAGAGGAATCCATCCTGCAGTCAGACAAAGCCCTCACTGCTGGAGAGAAGGCCATAGCGGGTACAGGGGCAGGGCTCGGCTCTCAGAGGGGTTGGTAGCTTCCTCCAATGCCCTCTGCCTGATCAGACAGAAAGATTTTCCTGACACGAGGAGCTTCCTCCTGCTAGAGAACACATGCTCTGCTAAATCTTAAAGCAACATGGAGAGTTGGGGTTTTACATCCAACCAGTCAGTGTCTTCCCTTCATGTTCGGAAACATGCTCTTCCTGACATGGCTAGTGGGGTAATTCAGATAGTCCCAGTCATCCACCTCCCTACCTTTTCCAAAGTCAGTTTGGTCTCTGAATTCAGGAAGATAGAATTCAGGCCTGACTGTAATTTTCTTTCCTCTGTAAAATGTTTGTGGAACAGCGGAGAGGGCCATGAAGGAGGCAGCTGAGAAGGAAATGTTGGTGCAAAGACAGAAACAGAAGGAGCAGCAGCAAATGATGGAGGCTCAAGAGAGAAGCTTCCGAGAAAACATAGCCCAACTTACAGAAAAGATGGAGCGGGAAAGGGAAAATCTTTTAAGAGAGCATGAAAAGATGCTGGAGCACAAGCTGAAGGTGAGTCTGGATGAAGCCTGAAAATGCTTGAGGGAAAAAGCTCTGCTTCCTCAGGAAGGGAAGTTCCACAATTTTAAGAATAGTTATAATTCAAGAAGGAAGCACGAAAGTATAGATTTCACTAAAACCTCAAATACAAACCTCTCAATCCCAATGAAGCTTGTAAGTTTACAGACTCCAGCACCATCTGTAGTGTTAGCCTTTGGAGGGTACATGTGACATCCCCCAGGGTTCTGGCTGCTGTGTGTGGTGAATATAGGATGGTCTCACTGTGCCCCAGTAAAATAGGTTTAGTCCACCAGTCCTTGGGATTCTTGGCATAACCATCCAAGAGTCCTGAATTAGATCCATCTGGTCTGAAGGTGTTAGATTTGGCCTGATATGGAATGGGGGATGCTGAAAGCCATGAAATTGCTTCATTTGTTTCCGTATCTTCCTGATTCATCCTATACAACTAGAGTAACATACATTCTTTGGCCCAACCTGGAGCTTGACCACAAGAGTTCTATCCAGGGTCAGCAGCTCCCATAATTTGTTAGATGAGCATAGCCCTGCTTACTCAGTATAACAGAGAATTAATTAGAATTAAATCTACATTCCCTCCCAAAGTGCATTCTTTGTGCTACAACAAAACTCCTTGCCTCACCCCAGTGAGGGAATTTCACAAAGGTATAAACCATGTGTGCTCCCACTACTGAGGCCTGATCACCTGGAAATTTTGAACAAACTCATCAAAGAGTATTCTAAGATGTTAGAGAAATAAACATAAGCTTAACTGCTGAATTGTCAAATTGTCAAAACTCTGACTCTTACAAACTGGGGTTTTGCAAAAGTGGATTATTCTCCCTTTATAGGTCCAAGAAGAACTGCTTAAGGAAGGATTTAAAAAGCAATCTGAAGAGTTAAGTAATGAGATCAATCGACTACAAGAAAAGATTGAAAGAGCTAACAATGCAAGACCCTCGGTGATTTCACAGATCCTTGACACGGCTGCCAATATGTTCCTTGCAGTCTTACCTGTACCTGCTAAGCTAGTTGGTGCAGGGATGAAATATCTCAGCTCACATATTAGATAGGCTGAGTATTCCTGGTAAGCAAATTATAAAATAAAGTTTCTTTTGTTTTAATAGCGTAACAGTGTTGCTCATTTTTTAAATATCTGTGTCATAGTAGTTTCATTCAAGCAGAGTTTAAAAATAAAAAGCAATTAATGAAGAATATCAGGACCTGACATCCACAAAATCAAAGTTAATTTTGATTGAATTAATAATTTATAGAAAAGGAAACATGTTGGAAGATAGGGAAATTATTCATAGAAAGATTTAAGTAAAGCAAAAAGACTAATGATCAGATCAAGAAAACATTTGCAATTTATATTATAGTCACAGAGATAATTTAAGTTATAATTAACTCTTGCAAATCTATGAGAAGAGAGCACCACCACATTTTTTAAATAGGCAAAAATATGAAAAATGTTTCATTTTACCGATAATAAAAGATGTACAAAGTAAAACTACGAGGTTCTTATTTCACCTCTATGGTGGGCAAGGAAGAATAGTTTGACGGGACACTGAGCTGGCAAGGGTTTGGGGGAACTGGCAGTGTCTCATATTGGCTAGTGAGAGTGTGAACTGTTCGAATTATGTATCAAAAATGTAAATGCACAGACCTTTGATTTAGCAATTCCACATTTAGGTATTTGTGTATATATTTGTTTACATAAATTTAACATAACGTAATATTAATAGTATATATGTTGCAGAATCGTTGTAATGCCAAAAGACTGGAAATAACATTTAAATCCCCCTGGCAGCTACTGATAAGGTAAATCTTAGGAAATACTTTCAAAGTAATACCCTATAGTCACTAAAATGAAAAGAGAAACTCTATTTGCACTAACATGAGAAAGCCTCCAAGAGGTACCCTAAGTAAAAATATAATGATACAGGAAGTGTGTATAATTACTGCCACTGAATTTAAAAAATAATAAATATGTATATATATTATTATCTCTGTCTGGTAAAATACAAGATAAACTAGTATCCAGGGTCACAACTGTGATGGACCTGAATAGTTAAGGTGAGAAACGGAATGATAACTTTAAATAATATATTCTTCTGTGCCTTTAATATTTTGTATGAATTTATTTATATAGTCAAATATGAATAAATATAAATATTAAAATTAAAAATGAAATAATGTACATGAATGGAAGAGTTCCCATGACAGGATGAAAGTGACTATTACTACTAGAAATACTGTGAATCAGCTCAACAGGAAACATCTGCTCATCAGAACAGGGAACTAGAAAGAGCACAAGACATGCATCCTAATTTTGTTTTTATCATGGCCTTTCAATAAGGATTTCAAAGTTTATTCCCAAATGTATTTTAGATACAGACTCCCCTGGGATGTCTACTGGAAATGGTCTCTAAATTCTGCCCCACATTTAATGATGATGAATTAGAAGGAAATATTTTCTTAAACTCAACATTTTAGGAATTGTTTTCAGCTGTCTGGTACTTAAGACTTGTAGCTAGAATGAACTCCTTGTAGTTTCACAAACTGGGCATGTTCTCTTGCCTGTGGGCCTTTGCACACGGAACACAGACTTCTTAAAACAACTGTGATTCCTCACCCTGAATCCTTATTTGCCAACCAACCACTGCTGCTGCTTAAGATATCCCATTCCCTGACTTCCCAAGACTGCACGTGGTGACCCTCTTTGTGTTTCCATGTCACCACACTGTCACTGCTACCGCAGAACTTTTTATATAATCATGAAGTTGAAATTGCCCATTTACTTTAGTTTAGCTCCTCTCGATCTCAGTGCTTGGTCTTCTTCATCATCTTTAGTTTCAATCACAAAACCCACCACATAAACATCACGTGTGGGTTCATTAAACACATGAGCTGCCCTCCAATAGGGCCCAAATTTACCACATTCTCACCGTTTTCCCTGATCTCTAGGGCTCTCAAAATAAAGAATGCAATTAGCAACAAGTGCATAAAGGATTCACTGAATCAGAAAGGACATGAGCAATTGTCTGAGTCTGCTGCCCTTTTCCCTCGGAGGGACGGGACAACCCATGGGCTCTGTGTTTCTCCAGCTTCTCACCCATAACTACCCACAAATGAAGTCACACCATTTCTCCCTGCACGATTACTGTGCTTAAAATTATAAAGAAAATGCCAGAGTCATGCAAAACTCTCATTTCCGCAATAGTTCTTCTATTCATTCAGGCTACTTCTGCTGCAATAAAACAATGCTCTTTATATGAGGATCAAAATCTCACTGAAAATGATACCCACAGGCTGACAGAGTAGAAGAATCTGCACGTTGTCCAAACAGCCATCAGATAGCAACACTACAATTACTTCATTACTTTTCTCTTCCCTCTGAAGTCCTATAAGCACAGCTCTGCTTTTATCAGGGTTTCAAAGCAATGCTTAGTTGTCTCTCAGGTTCCCAAACCAACACCATGGACTGTGTCATTATCTAAACAAAAATCCAAAGGTAAGCAGCAACAACTGCTCCAGATGGGAAGGAATCAGAAAAGAACTCCAGAAATATGAAGAATCAAACCAGAAGAACACCTTCAAAAGGGAACACCAGCTCTTTTATAAAAGAGACATCCTCATTTTATCCACTCTTTAACACCCCAACTATTTTCAGCCTATTGCCATCGTACCCTGTTAGACACTGTTGCTTCTTACTTTGAACTCACAGAATACTGGTGCCTACAGATTTGCCTTCCCTCCCCATCTTCCACTTTTTGTTTTAATTGTTGGTTTTGTTTGTTTGTTTGTTTTGTTTTGTTTTTTATATTATACCTCTGGCTCCAATCCTGGCAGAGTTTAGCATCTTGGTTTATTTATCTGGTGACATGTTTATCTGCCACTCCAGAAAGTCATCTTCTTGAGGTTAAGGACTGTCCTGTGGAAATCCACATCCACATAACCAAATACAGTGTCTATATTTTGTATGTGGCTGAGGAATTGTTGGTGAATTCAGTTGAATAACATTTGAAGCCCTAATATAGCCAATGACTGAGACAATTTACAAAGGAATTATTGCCCACTGATTACTTCACACCTGCTATGTTCAAGGTACTGTATTAAATATTTTACACATTGACAGTGTCAATTGTCTCTTTTTATAGCTAAAAGAAATAAAGTCCTGAAAGTGGTCAATGTAAATGGCAAAAAATATGGTTTGAATTTAATAATATCTTCCAAATGTATATCCCTTGACCTGTTCAGCTATAAATACTACTACAGCTAAAACAGTGCATGAACAATTGAATGACTAAAGAATAGACTCTTAAGTTCCAACTATAATACACTTTCTAGTGTGAGTAATAAAATCAGATCAAGTTAGGAAAAATGTTTAAGTTTATTGTCATACAAAAGTAGAGACCATGAATGATCCCGGCGACTTCAAGCAGTAGGAAGCTCTCCTTACAGCAATTACAGCACAGTTTATAAAGCATAAAGGAAGAAGTGTTTAGACTATTTGAGGCTGGCTATTATATATGAAAACATTATTTGGGGGGGCAAGCAGGACTGTTTGTTTGTTTAGAGTTGATTGGTTTCATTTCACTGAATCAAGCTGACAAGCATGTGTCCTCATTTCAGGAAAACCAGAATGACTTAAGTTTTGGGTGCATGGATATGAGCAGATGGCACTAGGCTATATCTAAACAGTGGCCTCCATTTTTATTTTTCTTTATCTCTACATTGACCCTGAGATTGACTCATGGATCTTTGTCCTGGCTGTGCTTCTGAGCAGCACCTTTGTCTACAACATGAACACCACTATCCACCAGGCCCTGGAGCAGCTGCAGTATCCTTACAGGAACGAAATTGCCGTGTTTTATTTAACAATCTAGATTAATTATGATTGACACTGTTTCTTTGTGTGTGTGTGGGTGTCACTCAGTGTCATGTATTAGGAGGGAAGATGGGGTAGAAGGCAATGTGTAAAAGGAATTTTCATGAAACCTGTTTCTAAGCGAGCTCTGGATATGGTGGTTTAGGGTGCTGCTCCTTCCTTAGCTAAGATGCCAGCTATATGACCGAGCTAAGAGAGCTAATCAGGGAAAAGTCCTGCCCAGGACCTGATGAAGTAGAGAACTCCACTGAGTTTGTAAGATTCTTCCCAGACTTTGTTTGTATTGTACGGGATTTCACCCTGGAGCTGGAATTAGATGGACATCCAATCACAGAAGATGAGTAGCTGGAGAATGTCTTGAAGCTGATTCCAGGTATCAGAGCATGACCTCGGTAGGGGAATGTTCAGTAGGAGTGTGAAATCAGTTAAGCCCTGTCACTCAACACTTGAACAAAAATGTTTGTGAAACTGTTGAAGCCCATACTAACGGTGACTGGTGACAAGTGGCCATGTTTTAGTGGTTATGATTACGTGAACATCTCCAATGGCAGGGGTTTAAACTCACTGAGGAAATTTAGGGCCCACTATTGTACCAAATGATTTTAGACCAATGAGTACCATGAAAAACTATTTTTGGTTATAATCAGTGCTATCACTTCCTAAGGCCCACATACTGTGAGACTCAATCAGTGACCCTTCTGTTCTATTTCAAGAAACATAGTTCATTAGATACAAAAGTGGTAAACGAATAATCACACAGGAAGTATTTAACCTAATTTCTAAAACATATTTCACACCCTATATTTTACTAATGCCTGTATAGTTACATCCTTCCAAGGCAGAATTTTATACACTAAATGGACCAGTAATAACATTTCCATATCCTTTCAGTAATGCTGCCAAAAAATCCTTCATTTTACTTTCCTTGCAATATCAACTTCTGAATTCTGCATCCATACACAATGCGTCATTCTTTCGATATTATAAATTTATTACCTAGATCACATTCAGGAGAGTGACTATCTGATGATGGTGAGAAAAACATTTATTTTTATTTATTCAATCATTTATTCAGCCTTTCACATGCATATTTTGAACAATGAGTGCATGTCGCAGAATCCCTCTGCAAGACACGATCAAGTCCAGTGTAACCTTGTTAGAGAAATGCTAAGGTCTCCCAGTTTCATTTAGGGAACTATAGTATTCAGAGAATTTTACTAAAAGAATTCCTA